AGCAGAGTGCCACCTCAGCAGTGACACGTCAGCAGAGTGCCACCTCAGCAGTGACACGTCAGCAGAGTGCCACCTCAGCAGTGACACCTCAGCAGGACACGTCAGCAGAGTGCCACCTTAGCAGTGACACGTTAGCAGAGTGCCACCTCAGCAGTGACACGTCAGCAGAGTGCCACCTCAGCNCTCAGCAGGACACGTCAGCAGAGTGCCACCTTAGCAGTGACACGTTAGCAGAGTGCCACCTCAGCAGTGACACGTCAGCAGAGTGCCACCTCAGCGGTGACACATCAGCAGCAGACGAAGGCCAGAGTACTTGATGCGCCGCAGCCAACGACTGGCCGAGCGCGTATCCGCAGGAGCCAAGCCTCAACATGGACCTAGGACCCCTCGGATTCCGCGTAGGCCACACACGACCATGGCTGCTACCGCTGACAACAGTGCACACGCCAGCCCCAAGAGGCCGGTTACCCCTCCTATCCCAATTCAGCAGGCCGATGAACCACTTCTAGTGTTCCTCCAACGTCTCCAGCAGTATTCGGAGACGAGGACAGTTGAATTGCGCAAGTGGGAAGAGGAGGAAGCCGCCCGCCAGCAGGAAATTCAACGCCAGCTGGCAGAGGCAGAGGCAGCACGTCAGTAGGCCGCAGCAGAAGCTGCAGCAGCCGCATGGTTGCAACAGCAGCAGGTTGAGGCAAGTCAAAACCAAGCTCATTACCAAGCCACGATGGACCTTGCTCGCGACGAAGCCACGTACGGCAGGCTACGTCGACGACAGCATTTCCAAGAAACCGAAGAACAAGAAGAGTCAACCGAGGAAGAAAGGGACAAGGAAGGGACAACAGTTCTGATGGAGAATCTGTTGTACACGTGCAATTGGCAGCAACGTGAACTGCTGGCCATGCGGCAAGTCTTCATCCGCCATGAAACTACGTTCAAGGCATTGGACAAGAAGATCCTTACCGTGCAGGCCGAGATCAGCACACTACATGCCGCCAATAGCCAGCAACAGACACTCAATAACCAGTTGCAGACCGATGCCAGCATGGGGTTGGCACAACTATCAGCAACTGCGTCAACGGGTAGTGCAGTGGTAGACTGCAGCCCAGCTTTGGCCGCACAGGCCAAGCAACTCGAAGAGAGGATCAACCATATGGTCGCATCCCTCGGCGACATCAACAAGTTTGCTGGAGCATCGACAGTTAGCAATCAGCTGCAGACGCTCAGCGACCGCGTTGAGCAACAACCGGTCGCTGCCGCCAAGGAATGGAAGATGCCGAACTTCAAGATCGAGAAGTTCGATGACTATCACAAGACTGATCCGCTGCAATGGTGGATGGCGTTCAACGCGGAGGCGGATGTACATCACACACCCGCACATCGGCGGCTTGACGCACTCTACCTCCAACTCATCGGAGGGGCGCAGGCTTTCATGACACACATGGCCGTCACGTTGGAATGCACCATCGCCAACCTCCACACGAAGATTACGTGGGAGGAATTCGAGAAGAAATGGAAGACCCGGTTCATGGTCAACAATGACAAACGGCACGCCATGAACAAGATCTTCCACATATACCAAGGCCAGCAGACGTCACGGGAGTGGCTGATGGAGTGGCAAAGACTCGTTGCCACCCCGGAGTTGAACTTACCATTCGATGCAATCCGGGCCGAATTCTTCGCCCGGTCATGCGACGCCTTGACTGCTGCTTTGGGCACTGAGTTTCAGTATGAGACCTTTGATGATCTGATCTCAAAGGCAAGAGAACTAATCCAAGGTAACCGGCGTGCGGCCAACGAGACCCGCCAACAACCTGGTTACGTGGAGAAAGGAAAAGGTCAACGGACGCCACAAGTAGCAGCAGTCCAGCACGGACCAAGTGAGGACCCCGCAGCTGCGTCTACATCAAGTGACGGAGATGTGGCGGCAGCGATACCACCGCAACGCTCAAGACCCCGAGGGGGAAAACGAAAGGCGAAACCAGCATCGGCGGATGGAGCACAACAGTCACCATGGACGAAGTTCGGCATTACCGAAGACATGTTCAAGTTGCGACAGAAATGGTCATGCTGTTTGTGGTGCAACAACACCAAACACATCACCAGCGCATGCCTCAACAAGGACAAGGAAAACGTCAAGCGTCCAAGCTCGAGAAACTGAGCACCGCGGGAAGTGCAGCGACATCACTTCCCAGTCCGCCGGAGTCGGCTGCCTTGCTAGCAGCCTCTCTCACATCCGGGGACACCGCGGTAGTCGCAAGTTCCCGCATTGAGTTTGAGAACTATGCTGTCAAGCTGGTCCCACCGTTGAACCAGCCTCTCCACGTGCAAGATTCAAGCGCATGCGCGGTAGTTCCTCCGTCGGACAACGAACCGGTTGCTTCGCCAGCCCTTCTATCGGAGGATCCGTCAACTTGGGCAAGTCTTGAGGAACTCGACCCGTTGACGGTTGAGGACTTCCAATGGTTGCCTCTTCCCTCCACCGGTTCTTTGCCAACTCCGCATTGTAATGCCTTAATGGCACATTTGCGCGAATACTTGCACGCTGCAGTACCACCTCTGTCGACGGACGACAGAGTAGTGGTTGTTGATCTTCGTAGCTATCTAGCGAAGATCGACCGCGAGTACGCAACGCAACGGTATGTCGACATCGACGCGCCGCTCCTCTACATCCGCATTCAGATCGGAAAGGCGACCTGCAGTGCCCTGATCGATTGTGGAGCGACTCGCAACTACATCAGCCAAGACTTCATGGCACGCGTCGGGCTTGGCCCGCGCGTTCGAAGGAAAAGTCAGCCTACGCACGTCACGTTGGCCGATCACAAAAGTCAATCGACCGATGCGTTGACTTGGTGCCCGTGTACTTTGCCCTGCTAGCATGCGAGGCCGTGTCTTTCGACATATTGGACACCAAGTTCGATATGATCCTAGGCATATCGTGGTTGCAAAGCGAAGACCATCCGGTGAACTTCCGTCGACGCACCGTTCACGTTCGTGATCGGCGTGGCGAACTAGTCCCGTGTACGGTGCCGCTTCCTCATCCTTCGATTGGTTGTCACGTAGTATCCACGGCGAGCATTCACCAATCCATTCGGCGGAACGACATTGAGGAGATGGGCATATGTTTTCTTCACGCCCTCCCACCCGGTGATCAACCCAAGATGGATACGTCGGACCCACGCATCATTGAGCTTTTGGACAGCTATGAGGATGTCTTCCAAGCTCCCGCCGGAGTCATACCGGATCGTCCCATACGCCACGGGATCACTCTCGAGGACGGCGTCGTAGCTCCGCGCGGATGTATCTACCGCATGAGCGAAGAGGAACTTCAAGTGCTTCGGGCACAACTAGACGACCTCTTAGCCAAGGGCTGGATTCGCCCTAGCTGTTCGCCATACGGTGCTCCTGTTCTCTTCGTCCGGAAGAAGAACAAGGACCTTCGTTTGTGCATCGACTATCGGAAACTTAATGAGCAAACGATCAAGAACGTCGCCCCTCTCCCTCGGATCGATGATCTTCTCGAGCGACCAGGCGGCGCCAAGTATTTCTCAAAGCTTGACCTCAAATCCGGATACCACCAGATCAAGATCCAGCCAAGAGATCGGTACAAAACCGCGTTCAAGACGCGGTATGGGCACTTTGAGTGGATCGTCATGCCTTTCGGTCTCACCAATGCCCCGGCTACTTTCCAAGCGGCTATGACGACGAAATTCCGCGACTTGCTCGACCGCACCGTACTCATTTACCTTGATGATATCTTGGTTTATAGCCGGACGCTGGACGAGCACCTTCGCGCCGTATTGGAGCGGCTCCGTATCGCCAAGTACAAGGCGAACCGCGACAAGTGCGAGTTTGCCCAGCAAGAGCTGGGGTACTTAGGCCATTACGTTACGCTGCAAGGCGTTCGTCCGCTCACGGACAAGGTACAAGCCATTCAAGATTGGCCGGACCTCAAGTGTACCACCGACATCCGCTCCTTTCTCGACTTGGCATCATACTACATGCGCTTCGTCAAGGATTTCAACGTATCGCTGCACCATTGTCGCGACTTCAGTCCCCCTTGGTGCCCTTCGAGTTCAGCGACGAAGCCCGACATGCGTTTCACACGCTGAAGACGGCTTTGCTTCAAGCTCTCGTCTTAAGCATCTATGACCCGACCTTGCCTACCAAAGTGACTACGGACGCTTCCGGTTATGGCATTGGCGCGGTTTGGGAACAGCATGAGGCACAGACTGGCATCCAGTTGAGTACTTCAGCCAAAAGGTGCCACCCATCAACACTCTTGATGATGCGAGGAAGAAGGAGCTGCTAGCTTTTGTCACCGTACTTAAGCGTTGGCGTCACTTTCTCCTCGGGCGTCGGTGATTCACGTGGGCAACGGACAACAATCCGTTGACGTATTACAAGACGCAAGACACGGTGAGCAGCACAGTCGGTTGATGGATGTACTTCATTGACCAGTTCGACTCCACCTCCAAGCACATTCCGGGCTCCTCGAACAAGGCAGCGGATGCTCTCTCGCGAAGACCTGATCTTTGCGCCTTGGTGCGCTCCACATTCGGCCTCGACGAGAACCTGCAACAACATTTCATAAACGTTCACAAGTCGGATCCGGGATTCTCCACACTCTATGCAGACTTATCATCGGATCACCCGCCGACAAGCAACTATCGCATTGTCGACGGCTACTTGCTTCTTCATACACGAGGCGAGGACTTGTTGTGTGTTCCCCAAAACCGCATCTTGCGCACTCGCCTCCTTGGTGAATACCACGATTCGCGGCTGGCAGGACACCTTGGCGTCGCACGCACACTAGCACGACTCCGCCAGCGATTTCAGTGGTCGGACATCATCAGCGATATCAACCGGTACATTCAGTCATGTGCAGTTTGCCACCGGAACAAAGGGCGCCATCAGCTCCCGTACGGCGAACTGAAACCATTGTCGATTCCTCGGGAACCGCGTCTCTCCATCGCTATGGATGTGACCGGCCATTTCCCTCGCGATCGCCTTGGCCATGACGGTATTCTCACGATCGTTGACCGTTTGAGCAAGTACACTCGATTTCTTCCATGCAAGTATCATGCGACGGCTCCTGAGCTCGCACGACTTTTGCATACCGGCTGGTTTTGCAGCCATGGCGTTCCGGAAGACATCGTCAGCGACCGCGACACTCGTTTCATGTTGGCCTTTTGGGCGGCACTCATGGTGGAATCCGGCACCAGCATGAAACCGAGTTCCGCACGGCATCCTCAAATGGATGGGCAAACGGAACGTGCGCACCAGACTGCGCAGATGATGCTCCGCACACTCATCCGCCCGGACCAGAAGGACTGGGTCGACCGACTTCCCGACATCGAGTTTGCCTACAACACTTCGGTGCACCCGGGAATCGGCGTGACTCCATTCGAGTTGCACCATGGTGGACGGAAAGGACGTATCTTCGTAGACATTTTGCTTCCATGGGCTGCCTATATCAACGCCGCTTGCTCCCCCTCTTCTACACGGAAGTACAGGGAACTGTTGGCCAAAGCCCGCGCAAACATGCAAAAGGCTCAGGTCCGTATGCAGCAGCAAGCGAACCGGCGTCGCATCCCATGTCCAATTCGCGCTGGCGACCTAGTTTGGGTCACCTCCGAGGAATTCGCGCTCAAGCAGGACGTCTCGCGCAAGCTCCTCCCTAAGTGGTTTGGACCATGGATGGTCACTTCAGCAGTTGGCGACGACCCCTCGGGTCCATCTTTCATCATTGAGATTCCCCCGCATTTGACGGTGCACCCGATATTTCACTCTTCAAAGCTGGCGGTCTACACTCCAGCCTCCGCAATGGACTTCCTGAGCAGACGGTCACAGGACCCTCCTTCAATGGATGGTCATTAGGAGGTCGACCGCGTTCTCACGCATCGCAAGCATGGCAACAAGCCTATGCAGTACAAAGTTACATTTAAGCAATGCGATCCGAAAGACACACGCTGGATTTCAAGAGCTGACCTGAAGGCGACAACACCCCTCATCTTCGCACATTACGAAAAACAGTGACAGGCTAAGGAAGCTGCCCAACCTGGCCGCCCTGTACGGGCATCAGACAGACAGCTTCGACCTCGCAGTTAGCTCGGTCTTCAAGGGGGGGAGTGTGTGGCATTCTGAGCCACACGGGCCCTAGTTAGGGCCCGGTTCCAGGCAGGCAGGGTAGGCCTAAGGGACGACGGTTCAGATGAAGCCCAGATGGGCCTGGACCACGACGGTTCAGGCAGGCCCAGGGTAGAGGCCCAGGCCAAACGGCCACAAGGCCGGTACCGGTCCAGCATAGGACCTACCGGCGGCGTTTCAAAGGCAGCCACATTTAGGCGCCAAAGTCCAGTTTGAATCTGGACCGTCGATTCAGATCAACGGTCCAGGCCAGTAGGTACCAGCAGGTAGGAGGCCGTCCCAGCACTACAAAAGGCTGGGTACCAGCCTCCGTAGGTGAGGTTAGTATGGACGAGAGGTTAGTCTTCAGGATTAGCGCATCAGTTCAGCGTTACCTCAATTAGGGCAGCGCTGCAGCACATCAAGGAGCAGTGAGAGAGCAAGAGTTCAGCGGCGAGCGGATTAGCGCAGCATTGGGCGCAGCGCCAGTTACCGGCCCAGCCCCCTTGCAGCGCCATAGCCAGGTACCAGGGAGGAAGGCTTCGCCTTCTCTCCCTCATCTCCTCCACCGCTCCTCTCTCCTCTCTCTCTCTCTCTCTCCTCTCTCTGTCTTTCTCTCCTACCTCTCAGTCTCAGTCTACTTTTGGGTTCTCCTACGGGACTACTGCAGTATGAAGGATGGTTACGAATTCTGATAACGTTGGGAACTGCGACATTGGGACTACGAGTGGAGGACTATTTGGGGATCTGATTTCATCTTCCTTCTAAAGATGTACTTGACACTGTGAGATCGATATCTGAGATATTGTGAGACTTGGCATTCGCAACATTTCGGATTTTCGTCACTTCTGACATTTCAAGATACTATCTTTGGAAACATCGAGTTGATGTCATCTTCCCCCTCCTCCTCCTTTGTCTCTCTCCTCTCTCCCTTCGTCCGTGGATGATCTCAGTCCCTGGCCCTTCGTCTATGTCTGAGGCCAGGGCATTCACACCCCTGATGAATGTTTGAGAGTGTTCGATTGCAGTCTGCGTCAGGTCCGAATCAGTCCAAGGTATATCAAGTCTTCCGCTTGCATTTATATTAACTCTGTGTTATCTGGTCGGTTCTAGGAATCTGCGCCATACTTATGACTGTGTTTCACGAGTATGCAACACACTCCCTCCTCCACAACGCAAACCACTCCCTCCTCCACAGCCGCCTCCAGCAACACCCCCCCGCCGACCTCCTCCACTCCTACCACCTCTACCACCACATCCACCAACCCTCCTCCTCAACCTCCACCACTGTTTCGTTCCCCCCACCTCCTCCCTCATCCGGCGCATCCAACACACCGCCTCATTCCTCGCCCATCCACGTCACCCCTCTTCCCCCTCCCCACTCTCATACCCTTCCCCAACCCATCATGACGACCTCCATTATCCCCACCCCCCGTCCCACCTATTCCCAAGTCACCTCCGAGGTTTACCCCGCAATGCCACAACTCCCCCCCAACTACCTCCTTGAGGACAACAGCCAAATACACCTGCTACGACACCACCCCCGATAACCTCAGCTTCAACACCCTCGCCCGGATCGTTCCTCGCGATGGGGAAATCCCCTGTTCCTTCCGATTTGTCGACATCATGTCCTTCTCCGGCCTCCCCCACGAGGACGTTTTCCTCTTCTTAACCCAGCTCCAAAACTCTTTTCACCTCCACCACATGCCCCTTGTCCACTGGCTCCCCATTGCCACCTCCCGCCTTCTCGGCAATGCCGCCAAATGGTGGATGGCTGAAGTCAGCAACCGCCGAGCCTCCGGAGGACCACATCACTCCTTCCTCCAATGGGCCAACTTTCTCACTGCCACCTTCCACCCCCAGAAAACCATTGATGACTACCTTGAACAATTTTGTCACCTCCGCCAGACCAGTCTCACGGACCGCTTCGTCCAATACAACCGCTCCCTTCGCCACCACCTCCCCACCACCGTCATTCCCGACTTTGTGTTCATCTCCCGCATCAAACGAGTATGCCACGAAGACCTTGCAACCGCCCTCGCCCACGAACCCGACATGCCCCTTGCTGACCTCCTCTCTCGCATGCTTCACCACATTCGACTCCTCCACCCCCATCACCAGTCCGTGCCTGCCCCCTCCCGCACCCGCTTTTTCCATCACATCACCCCTGAAGACACCACCTCCATCACTTCCTCGGACGAGCTCACCACACCTGACCCCGACGCATCTTCCGATTCACTCGACTCTTCATCCCTCACTTCTGAGGAACTCAATGTCGTCCAATTTATGAGGATGGAGCGCAGAGATCGCAGCTCCCGTCCACCCTCATGTACCCCACCCTCCCGCCTCAAGAAACTCACCCCCGAGGAGCGCACCTACCTCCAAGTAAACGGGGGTTGCTTCCGTTGTCGCCAATTGGGGCACCAACAAACCAACTGCCCCAACGCCGCACAATTTACCCACCAGTCAGCCTCCACTCGACCAGCAACCTCCGCATCACTGCCCTCGGCAAGCGTGGGTCCCTCCTCATCATGAACACAGTCCCTAGGACATTGCCCCGGCATCGACACCGCGTCTGTCGGCCCACCCATTGGTGACGTCCTCCGTCCCACCGATGGCTCATCTGGCATCGACAATTCGTTTGCCTCCTCCCTCTCCGGTGATGCCCCCTCCACCGGACGGCTCCCAAGCGTCGCAAACCCCACTGCCTCATGCTCCTTTACCCTTCTTCCAAACCCATCCACTATCACCTTCTCCGATGTTGTTGAGGAACAAGCTCGACACAATCGGCTTGTCCGCTTAGGCAATGAACAACACCACCTCAACACCATCATCTCCACCGCCAACTCATCTCGTTTCCACCTCAAATTCATTGTCGCCACCCTTGGTGCGTCTACAACTAAGTTTCGGGCCCTCCTCGACATTGGAGCCACCGGTAACTTCATCACCGACGCGTGTGTCGGCAAAGCCAGTCTTACCTCTACCGGTTATGACTCCCCGATCACGATTCGCCTAGGGGACAAAGACACCGCCGTCGTAGTAGACCGCACGGTTCCTGAGACCACCATGACCGTCGGAACCCTCCGCAGTCAGGTCCCGTTTGATGTCATGCACTTAATGTGCGACGTCGTCTTAGGAACCCCTTGGCTGGACCGCTACATGCCATACGCATTCCACCCCAACTTCCTTCGCCTCACCAACCCCCCCGACACAACCATYGACATCCCCTATCTCCCATATCCGACCTCCCAAGGCTCCGTCACCCCGCACCAATTCCTCCACATGGCTCGCCTAAACCCCGACTCCTCCTCCTACTGTCTTGTCCTTAATTGCGAAAGTCCCAAGGACTTACTCCCCACGGACAAACCCAATCAAGCCCCTCCCTCCAACCCCGCCATCACCTCAATCCTCGACAAGTTAAAGGACGTCTTTCCTGAGTCCTTACCCGTCGGACTACCTCCGGATCGTGGCGTATCCCATACCATCAATTTGGAACTCGGACATTCTCCACCTTGCCGCCCTCCATACCAACTCTCTGTCCCCGAAGCCGACGAAATGAAGCGGCAACTCAGTGAACTCCTTGAAAAAAGGTTCATTAAGCCAAGTTCATCCCCCTTCGGAACCAGCTGCCTTTTCGTCAAGAAAGGTGGAACTTCGGAACTCCGCATGTGCACAGACTACCGCGCCTTGAACCGGATCAYGATCAAGAACAARTACCCCCTACCTCGGATTTCCGAGTTCCTTGATCATCTCCGTGGAGCCAAGATCAACCTTTGCAGTGGCTTCCACCAGATCCGTATCCATGAGGAGGACACCCACAAGACCGCCTTCCGCTCTCGGTTCGGGTACTACGAGTTCCTCGTGATGCCATTCAGACTCACCAATGCCCCCGCTACCTTCCAATCTACCATGAACCACATCTTTTGCAACCTCCTTGAAGTCTGTGTCGTCGTCTACCTTGATGACACCCTTGTCTTCAGGCCCACCTTCAAGTCCCACCTTCAGCACCTCCGCCAAGTCCTCTCGATCTTCCGAGAGCAAAAATTCTACGCCAAGCTCAACAAATGAACGTTTGCTACTTCAAGCGTCAAATACCTTGGCCACATTGTCTCCGCTGGAGGTATCCGTATGGATCCCTCGAAGGTCACAGCCCTCGTCGAATAGCCCCCACCCAAGACCCTTCTCCAACTTCGTTGCTTTCTTGGCCTTGCCATCTACTATCGCCGGTTTATTCGCAACTTTTTTCGAGATCTCTTACCCCCTCCACGAACTCACACGCAAGGACGAGCCCTTCACTTGGAACGATCGCCGCCAGCACGCCTTCGATCTACTCAAACAAACCATCACCACAACCCCCGTCCTCAAGATTGCCGACCCCACCCCCCACTTCTATGTCACCACTGACGCCTCCGACTTCGCCATTGGAGCCGTACTGTCCCAACATTTCCCTCCTGACACCGTCGACACCCCCTCCATCAAGAACTCCCCCACTCACCCCAAGGCTCCACCCGACGAATACCTTATCGCCTTCGCTAGCAAGAAGCTTCTTCCCGCGGAGATGAACTACCGCTCCAACGAGAAGGAACTTCTCGCCGTGATCCACTCCCTCAAAGTCTGGCGCCCATACCGCGACGGGCAATACTTCACCATCCGCACTGACAACACTATTGTCTCCTCCATCCTTTCCAAGAAAGACATCACGCCACGCCGAGCCCGGTGGTTAGACTTCCTCGCCCAGTTCACATTCATTATTTGCCATACCCCCGGCAAAAGCAACCGCTTTGCTGATGCCCTCTCTCGTCGACCCGACCACAAGCCCCCCGAAAAAGTCTACGCCGCCATGACTCATATCCAGCTCCCCCCATCACTTCATCATCGATACACCCAAGGCTATCTGTTACATGCTGAGAGCCTACACACGGGCCCCTCACGGGACCCGAGGTTGGAATAGGGCCCCCAGGTCGCGTCACCGCAACCTGAAGGCCCTATGGCATTTTTACTTAGGCTTGCATCAGAAAAACGCCAGCTTTAGATTATTTTTATATTTTTTATTTATTTATTGCTGCCGTTTTTCTAACATGTGTGCTGTTGTCCGTTTTGTGGCCAGGTACACGTTTTAGGGCCAGGGCCAGATTCAGGCCCAGAGGCCGAGCCTCTAAAAAACGTTTGGACCTTTTTTTGTTTTCGGACAGATTTTGGACCTTTCGGACCTGGACCGACGTTCAGGCCCAATGCATTCGCACAGGCCCTGAATCGGACCAGGTACCGAACAGGCCCAGTCCTGGGCAGGGCCTGGACGTCCTGTAGGGACCCAGGCAGGCCGTTTTAGGCCAAGGACTGAACCAAGTCCGAAGCCTGCGATCTGGACCGTGGATCGGAATTCGATCTGCACGGTCCAGAACGAAGGCATGGACTCACTGGGTCCGGCCCAGCGCTACTTAAGCTGGGCCAGCGCCCAGTTCTGGACAGAAGGTACCTGGAGAAACCCCAGCGTTATGCTGGTTCAGAGGTCCACCTGCTGCGCTATTTTGGAGAACTGCCGCTTCGCTATTTTTGGTTGCGCTATTGCGCTGCGCTATTGCGCTGCGCTGTTCTGCTGCGCTAGCTGGAGGGAAGCTGCGGTCTTGGGAGATGCTGCTGCGCTAAGTGCAGCGCTGGAGGAGCCCAGCGACAGAGAGAGTTAGAGGAGTTAGTTAGAGAGAGAGAGAGGAAAGAGGACTTACCTGTGCCAACACCATAGCTGGCTTCGCAGTACCTACAATTCAGCCATCCGCCAGGTAAGTGCAGAAAGCGCCTAGCTTTCTTCTTCTTCTTCTTCTTCTTCTTCTTCTTCTTCTTCTCCTTCTTCTTCTCTCCTCTTCTCCTCCTACTCCTCCGAACTTCTTCTTCTTCTTCATCAGAGTAGAGATAGAGGTAACTGCAGACATTGGTTGGACACGGCATTCTGCCTTATTGGAGACGACATTCAGATCAGACTTACACTCTACATTGGGGTTGAACTGTATACGACATTCGGAGATCAGACTTGGGGTTGGACTTGGTTACCTCCTATGTCTCCCCCTTTTCTCTCTCGCATGTCTATGGATCCCGCCCCATATGTGTGAGCGGAAGGGCAATCTTTCTGATGTCTTGCGCTTCCGAAGTTCCTCTCTTTCCTGTTTGTTGTCCTCGTGTCCTTTGGTTACTAAGACTTCCGCTGTGCTGCTTCCCAGCCCATGATGATGATACAAATGTGTTATTGTTGATTTCTCGTTGGTTTACTCTTTGCATTGTGCACATTGGTATCTTGTGAATGTTGCATCTATGCTGCCGGTTGTTGCCACTTTCACCATTGCTAGATCTTAGGCTCTCGGTGCATTTCACTTCCTGATATGCTACACTATCTCTCCTGCTCAAACTTCGCCACCATTTACAACAAGCTCCGCGATCTTAACCCAGCTCCCGACTACTCCCTCCACAACAACCTCCTCTACATCAATACCAAAGGCACTCGCCGACTTTGCATCCCCGACGCACGAGCCCTCCGTCCTCAGCTCTTTGCAGAGCACCACGACGCCAAGACCGGAGGACATCTCGGTTTCCAGAAAACCTTCGACACCATCTCCCGCTACTTCTACTGGCCTTCCCGACTCGCCGATGTCAAGGCATACATTCGCTCATGCCCCACATGTCAAGCCGTTAATCCCTCGAACCAGGTCAAACCTGACAAGCTCCAATCATTGTCGATCCCTACTCACCGTTGGCAGTCCATCTCCATGGACTTCGTCTGCGGTCTTCCCAGGACCGACCGCGAGCATGATTGCATCTACGTCATTGTCTGTCGCTTGACCAAACGTGCCCACTTCATCCCTTGCACGACCTCGCACAGTGCCAAAGACGTCGCCACACTCTTCTTCGACCACGTTGCTCGCCATCACGGCCTCCCCGAGAACATCATCAGTGACCGTGATCCTCGCTTTCTCTCACAATTCTGGAAACACCTCTTCACGACCTACGGAACCACGCTCAAGTATAGCACTGCATTCCATCCATAGACCGATGGACAAACAGAGAAGATAAACGATACTCTCCAAAGAATCATGCGGAAGAATTATCATCCTCACCAACACAATTGGGATCAGTTGCTCACAGCCGCCAAGATTGCCTACAACAACGCCGTCTGCCCTTCCACCGGCATGTCTCCATTTTACCTCGACCTTGGCTACCACCCTCGCTTGCCCTCTGACTTCTTGCTTCCTTCGCAGCTTAACCCATCCACCCCCTGCCCCTCTCTCAATGAATGGGTAGCAACGATGAACAGACTCCTGAGAGAAGCCTCCGAAGCCATTGAACGAACCCAAGAACAACAAGCCAACAAGACTAACAAACATAGACGCGACGTGTCATTCAAAGTACGGGACAAAGTCTGGCTCTCCGCCAAACGCTTTGAACCCAAACACGGCTTGTCCAAGAAACTCTCCAACGAATGGCTTGGTCCCTTCCCCATCATTGAACAAACCTCCCCCGTCAACTACAAACTCCAACNGAAACTCTCCAACGAATGGCTTGGTCCCTTCCCCATCATTGAACAAACCTCCCCCGTCAACTACAAACTCCAACTTCCCCCTGACATGAGTCGTGCCCACCCAGTCTTCCATGTCGAGTACCTAAAAGAATACCATGAATCCCCGCCCCAGTTCGTCGACCGCCCATATCCTAGACCTCCACAAATCATGCTACCCACAGGCCCTGAATTCGTTGTCGAAACCATCATCGGCCGACGAACCACTCAGGTATCTGATCATCCAGAACCAATCACTGAATACAAAGTCAAATGGACCTGATACCCCGACGAAGAATCTACATGGGAACCTCTCTCTAATCTTAAGAACACCATGAAACTTGTCCGCGCCTATAATCGTGCTAATCCTATGTCCTAGATACCTATATAACTATGGCATAAACCCCCGCTAAACCCTCGCAACCCTGCGCTACACAC